AACGGAATTCACATTGCTGTTCCGCAACGTTCGTTTCCACAACCTGACTGACGAGGCGTTTGAGTAGGATTCGGGCAATCACCTTGCTCAGACAACTCAGCAAGTTGATACCATGATAATTCATGCAACATTGTTTGCTCCCTTTGCCCTTGTGCAGTGGTAGCACAGGCGCATCCATCACCTCAGGAGGCTCCTCCTCCTCAATCCACACGCGTTGCACCAAGTGGTGCAGCGCAGTCACCAACACAGGTCCGCCGTGTTTCAATACTTCAAGCAGGATCCCATCGGCACCGGCACACTTGCCGTTTCGCAACTGAGCAAGTGCTCTCTGCGTTTCATTCAGTGTCGGAGTGTCCGCCAAACTTGCCTTCACATCGTGCTGCTCCAGGCCGTTCAGTGTAGGCCAGTCGATCTCTGAACCGTTGTTCAAGAGAAAGTCAAAGTGTTTTGCCAGATTTGCATAATGTCTGCAGTCTGGGTGCAGGTAGCGCCTGAATTACCATCGATCAGCGTCCTCATTGGCTGCAACCTCGGTCCATACGCCGCCTTCATGGTGTCAAAGAATTCCCTATGTTGGCGGCGTTCGGCGTAGCATACCATCTGCTCCGCCTTCTCCGTCCACCATGCATTTTTAATGCGACGGAGCTCTCGGGTCAGTCGTCGTCTAAGTTTGCGGAACTGACTCTTCTTCCCCACGTCACTGGGATCTGCCACATGTGTAGCAAATACTGCATTCTTTTCAGACATCAATGCGCCAGTCGTCGCATTGTTATCAATCAATCAATCGCGATGCTTACATTTTGCGCGCCCGATGGTCTGCTCGGCAGCAGCTGTCACCTGGTCGCGAATGTGGTGCCACAATTTGTCCACTGTGGCTATGTATTCCACAACACACAGGCATGCAGCCATCGCCTTCTCCAGCTCAATGCGCTTTTCCACAGTATCGAAAGAGTGTTAAATTTACGCCCATTCACGTCAGGAGTGCAGAATATATAGATTTACGAAAATATATATACTTTTGATCAGTGCCACACTCATCTCCACGAAGTACACGTGTCATGCGCACTTCACTATGTCACGCTGACGTACGATGACAAGGTTGAGCAAGTGAGCATGACCACTCCGTGGGTGCGTCCTAATTACTATATCATTCGCCCTCAGTGCAAATCGAGTGTTCGTGATCGTCAGACCGTGAGTGGCACACAGTGAAAGCAGCCTGTCACCGTTCGTATTCGCTGAACCAATACCATGCGGACCGATAACGTCTGTCCACACCGATGCATCACGTCCGACGCGCGCGCTGAAATTACCCAGCAGAGTTAGTCGGTCGCTTCTCGGCACAGACTGTATGACGGAGGATAACTGAGTAAATAAAATAAATAAATAAAATATTTATTCTCGACTTATCGAGACACACCTGCACAGGCATTATCATGTTAAGAGTACAAAATGTGATCAGTTAATGTACAGTGGAACAATAGGTAGTCGCATATGTTGATATATGAATGTATGTAAGTGTGTATGTAGGCGTGTTTATCTGTGTTTATGGTATTTAGAAATGTTTTCCTGCCATTTTGATCGTCCTTGACGTGTCGCCAGGGCTAGATGGATGCTTGATGTCTGTGGACTTGAAGTGGTTGTCCGGATAACCAATGGGTGACTTTAGTTGGTGACGAGTCACAAACGCCACGTCACAGTGTTGTTAAACGGACATCTGGAGCTTTTTATAGGGAGAATGCTTACCAGGCGAAAACCCACTACGTCCTGGAACACTGACGCCGAATTATGTGCTGGAATGGGATAAACCCGAACCACCCAGCTGGCACCATGAGGAGGTTGTTCGGCTAGTCAGCCAGTAGAATTGATCAAGCGTGTAATCAGGATAACACATGGTCGGGTCGTACGTGAGTATAAAAGTGACAAACTTACCTTTTTTGAGCCATAGGCCAATAGCCATCAGTCGCGCGCTGATGACAGTTGGTTCACCCACCAGGTGGCCATTTAGGCGATCGGATATTACAAATCCGACCCCATGTTCACGTGTTGCTGAGGTGACGTTTCCCACCCTCTAGAACGTATAGCCGATACCAGCTTCATGTAACTTACCTTGTTCAGGGAGTCGGGTTTCACTGAACGCCGCAATATCGATGTTGTAGCGCTTCAGTTCCATCGCGACCAGTGCAGTGCGTCACTCGGGGCGCTCACTCGAGTTCCGGTGCAGTAGTATGCGCACGTTCCAGCACCCGATGTTGAGTGATTTTCTCGCAGGCATGCGATTGCATTGGTGAGAAATCGCACGCGTAGTCGTTGTTGTGCTTCAGAGATTTGCTTGTGGGACTCCGCCCGGAGCCTTTGGCTCAGTAGCCTGACCCACAAGGCAGTGGGTGATTTGCTTTGCTTGTGGGACTCCACCAGTTCCCTTTGACTCAATAGCCTGACCCATAATGTAGTGGGGAGCAGATCCAGCTCGGGAATGTGGTTGCAGATTGGGATCTGCTTGAGGTCCGTCACACGCAGCCTTTGGAATCTGGAGCAACCTTGGGTTTTTTTGCGACCGTTGTATGATACGCATCCGCGACTACGGCCAGACACAGGATGGTTTTGGCGAGTTTACACGAGTTTGTCCAGGGGCTTTCTGGCTTGAGGCGGGCAGTAGCAAACCATTGAACACCCGGAGGTGCCCTCCCATCGTCAGAGACAATGCGTGGCGCTCGTGCTCTACGCCAATCGAGCGTAGACCTGTTTTCTCCCATGGCTAGGTTTTACGGGAAGAGGGTCATGGACCACTTCCTAAGCTCCGAAGAGGATGGACTAGAATACTGGCAGGGTGCCCACACCTGACAGGAGAACGACTCGGGTCCTCAGCCAAAGCCTTCGATTAAATGTACACCGGTTTCAGATACAAGCAACAATACAAACTGACCGGATTTTTTAAGCACGGTCAGTTGTCCAAATTCCGACCAACGTTGTTGGTTTCCTTTCAGTTATCGATCGCCCTGCGCACAGATCGGCGCTGAGATAGACTAAGTGCTGCGCCTTGTCAGGTTACACCACTATTTCCAGTGTGCGCACATACAGTTCTGGCCAGACAGTGTGTGACGAGTGTTCGCGACTGCGATTCGCTATGCAGTTGATGCTTTCGGTTTGCGAAAGCAGTGAAGGACGATTTAATTGACTCTAGCCGCCTTATGCAGCTACCGATAGTGTTGGTTTAGGTCTTTATAAATAGACCTTGCAGTATGCATTCCATTGTTTCCAAGAACTTTGATTGCGAGCGATTGTGCTGAAACACACTAAAAATTGAAAACCAGCCGTAGACGTTGGTCTGTTAAGAGCACACTCGAGGACGATGGGCAATAGGAAGACCTGATTCAACCAGAGCAAATGAGCGTACTCAGGCGAAACCAGGAGCTACGACCAGCCAGTCAACGTCGTTGCAGGACAGAAGACGCTTAGTGTCCGGTGTTTTAACAGAGCAGTATGTGTTCTCTGTCTGTCTCGAATGGTGTGCCATGTGTGCACAATCGGTGCAATCCACTTGACCGCGCCTGAGTGACGTGGTTTTCTTAGTTCAGTGCTGCAGCGCTATCGACCCTCTTTTGTACACGTTTCTCTTCTGCTACCCTGCAGACTTTATCCACATCAAGCTCATTTCCATTTTCTGTGTGTGGATAGATTCGAGTCCCGTGTTAATCCCTGCTAAATGATCCGCTTATTTGAACTTTTTGGATATATTTGGGACTGATCGAGAAGTTATGGTTTCAGAGAGGCTTGTGGACAATCAGTTGTTTTATTTAGTTGGCAAAATTTTTCTTTTGACACAAAGGCTTTCGTGTGGTCTGACAAAACTTTTGTGTCAAAAGCGAAATGTGGCCACAAATCTCTCTGAAAATAAGACCTACTATTTTTTAATCCCAGCGTTTTGTTTTGGCGCATACCTCTTTGGTGTTGATGCCTTTCGCTAAGTCCATCTCGACGAAACTGGACCTTAACGTGCGATAGTTTGTTTGCCCCTGCGATCCATTACGCTATGCTGGGTAGTGCTTTTCGCACCTTCAGGGCTACTCATACTAGATTGGTTAGTGGTTAGAGGCCAGACCAACTCAGTGTCCTGGCCCTCCAGGTTGGGAGTTGGAGTGAGGGTGGCTCCTTACTCTATAAACGGGCTCACTGTAGCCCTGCACCAAAACCCCGTTGCCTTGCGGTCAGGTTTTCGAGCCAAGGGCTTTGGTTGAGAACCCTAATCGTTCTCCTGTTAAGGACTGGGCAACTAAATACTCTACTCACGCAATACTATGCATTTCTCTTCTAACGATGTCTTGATGCTCTGGCGCGCATGTGTGCACACCGACTCTTACGATGTGCGTTGTTTGCGCGCCGGAAGTATGGATGGAAGAGGACGGAAAATCAAGCAATGACTCGGACAAGAATGAAGGCCCTCACTTCGAACTTGGCGTCTGTTGGTGTCTGCCGATTGCCGTGCTGGAGACCGAAGGACGATGAACACGTGTGTTTGAATACACTAGTTGACATGGATCCAGCCTCTCCATCCCGCTTCTTTTCCATCTTTAACCACAATCTCAGTCCTGAAGTATAATGTGTTACTGTGATATTTAATGTTTTATATCTTGCTTTGTCGTACATTTTATATTTTTGTATTGCGGCACAATAGTTGAAGTGTGTTTCCCACCGGCTAATGTGATGATTATGATGATGATGATGGTGGTGTTGGTGGTGATGATGATGGTGATGGTAATGATTGTGATGATTATGATGAGACTTTCGCTGCGTATGTGCGTGGTCTACATGGCACACTTTTGAGTTGGATGGTAGTTCCATGCCCAGCCGTATAACTGAACTGTTTCTTTACTCTTAACAAGGTCTGCTGATTTTCCGCCATTGCTAAGCCACCGTTTTTACTATATCATCCATATCACCGATAGAGTTCAGGAAGGACCTACCTAACTTTGTCGTTAAAACATTTCCCTACTTTCTTTCAGTGACGAAGCGCTTGATTTCCTCGTCGACGTTTACGTGGTAAGTGGGGTTGTTGTCCTATATATTTGACCTTTGTGAGAATGCCACTCACTGTGGCTCCGTCGCTGCCTGTTCTTAAGTCATACCAAATTAGAAATAAGTTTTCCTACTCCAGCAGAGGTGTTCAACTACACCGGATTGTATGCACCCAAAGAAGACTACACCACTGACCGACGGGGCCCAATCGCTCTTAATGTGGCTACCTAACTCTTTCTTTTACTGGACCCACACATGTTTTACTCAAGGAATTAGGTTGAGACTGATTGCTTGAATGTCTACCTACCTCATTTCGTAATGGAACAGTGGTGTATTACAGGTAAAAAAGCCATGCTTAACAAGTTCCGTGGGATGGAAATTATTGCGGAAATAAAAATTCTTTATAAAGTGAAAAGCGTTTTGGTTGACTCACCATAGACATATGTAGAAGAGCAGGTATATTCGCGTATTAAAAGCAAAAATCCATTCTTGTATCCGCATCGTTCTTGCTTATTACAGTTTGACAAGTAAATAACACTTTAATACCTTTTTCGCTTCATTGAGTTAAGTAGCTAAGATCTTTCATTCATGCATATAGTCTCTACTCCGTTTGCCTGTTACACTGCAAGATCTACCATCCAATTGCTTCTTCCATGAACCGTGCGTTGATGCATGCTAAGAGCACAGTGTACGCAACTTCAGTCGAGACGCCATCAAATCAGCTCCCGGTATGACCACCGCCGTCATGAGTTCTGCAAATATCCCGGAGCATCACAAATGTTCTCAGGTAGCCTACCATGCGCCAGCAGTTTGACCTGTTATGTGCCAACACTACTGGTGGGGTGTTACACGTAATCTGATTTCAACGTCTTCCATATGTTATATCACTTTAGTTCCTTCCATTGATGTCCTCCCTCTGTTCGCACCACCGTTTCATGTTGATTTCTACGTCCAAAGTTGCGTCCCACTTCGGTCCTCAGCAACACCAAGATGCCGACTTTCTTTTCGCCCATTTCAGGGACTAGAGTCACAGTACGATTCACGGCTCGTCTTTCTGGCCGCTGTGTTTACTCTTCTGGCCACAATCGCAGTGTTGATGACCGTGCTACTCGCATGTTTCCGGTTCGCTCGGGGTTCGCCTTCTACCAGTAGCGATTCCGGTGACTACGCCCGCATCACAGATACTACTCCATCCGATGCGACGGAGTTTGATCACAAGCCCAAAAGCGAATAAATGACTCTTTTCACAATTCCTCGCCCTTTTCTCGGATGTACCTTCATCTTCTGTTCCTCATAGCAATTTTGTGACGTGTTCTTTGATCGCTTGTGTTTCTATGCTTTTTGTGCACCATGTCTTTGGAGCAGTTTCTTGACTGCTCAGTGTCAAACTATTTTCTGGAGAGAGTCGTGTAGCGTGTTTTTTGAACGTCGCAACAATCTGATTCCGTCAGCTTTCTGTCAACTGACACCGTTCTGCGCGGTTTTTGTGACAATACAATCTTACTGCGACTTTGTCGCTTCCATCGGGGACTTATACCTTGCACAAAATGGAGCGTAGATAGGAGCCATGTTTATTTGGGGCTTTCATGATTCCTCTGTTTGACGTATTAATACTCTGCGCCTCTAAAGGCAACAGGGTTTATCCATCCCCGATGGTCAGTAAAGATTCCGTGCCTTTTGTTCTACCATCGCCTCTCGGTTTCTGATCGCTCTGTTTTCATGGTGATTGAAAGCGAGTCGGATTCGTTTTTGTAGCGACTGAATGCGGATTGTGATCTATCCTAAATCATATCTTAATTAGAGAATGTCCTTTCTCACTCCATAGACTCCGCCATCTTGCTCGGTGTTTCATATGCGCTCATTCCCGCTCCGAAGGGATGCGTCCTTTGCATATTCAGGGACAATGTCAATCACAGTGTTTTCTGCCAAATTTTTATATTTTATGCCATAACTTCACATTAGATGGCCAGCAGCTATCTGTGCAACGATCGCATTAGCGAAATATAGGCCAATCACAAACTGATCAAGTCGATTTACCAACCTATGTACTTACAGGGTGGCGCACGAAATGTCATACCATTAGTTTTGTTCATTACACATGTACTATTATAGATGTAATGTTGAAAACTCGTATTCGTGTACTTTGGTTTGTGGGAAATTCTGTACATGTCACGAGAAGTTAGTATGGGATATTTTCCTGGTACAAAGCAGTTTCCAAGATGGCACCTAAGAGCAGATTGAGTGTTGAACAGAAGGTGAAAGTTGTACTGTTTTTACTGAAACGAGGAGTTTTGTAGTTACACAAAGATGTTTTCGTGCAGACTTCGTACGAAATAGGCTCAATTTAAACAGACTATTCGTCAGTTTGAAACAACTGTCTGTGCGTTGGAGAAGGATCGACGGCGCAGATCAAGTGTCCGCACCCCAAAAACATGGAAGCTTGCAAGAGGTTGTGAAACAGAATGGTTATCACATTGAACACGTACTACATTGAACTTAATTTCCATGCTCTTACAAGGAATTCTGCACCAATTTTGTAATATTTTGATGATAAATACATGTGTAATGAGCAAAACAAATGGTATGACATCTCGTGCGCCACCCTGTATGTGGAAAGTTTGAGCTACTCTTCTTGTTGATTAGGAATCTGCGATCAGCAAGCATGATTGAATATTGTAGTTTTACACCACATTTCTTTACGGAGATTTGCGCATAGCACTCTTTTTAAATTGTCTGGAGAACAGGGAAAGTTTGATCAAAGTACGTAAGTGAATTTCGTATAACTACCGCCATTACAGTACGTGCCTAGGTATCGGTCCCACTGGAGAAACTGACTATCCGCCGGAATCGAGTATTAGGCTCCGATATCATAACTCCGTCATAACTTTTCTGTAAGCGACATAGTCATTCGCCCCGTAGATGTAAGATGGAGTGATACGCTTGAGGGGCGGAAGTTCCCGAGGTTGGCAGACTTGTGTAGCCGCCGTTGTTGAGGCAAAAGTTCCCCAGAGTATAACAGTCGTCCACCACGTGCTGTTTCGTTTTTTTTATTTCCGATTTCCGTATTGTTGAGTAAGTCGATTGTCATACTTCACGGTTTGAATTCATTCACCCACCCCAGTTGTTTTCATATGTTATGTTGGCCTTGCCTTGTGTTAGTCATTGTTAGAGAACGTTTCCAGGCTAAGTCTAGGTGACCCTGATAAACCTATTGTCCTTATATCACTGGGAATCGTGTTCCGGAGCTTAAAACATCTGACGGGATAAAGGTTAAATGGAGCTCCATTTTGATGGTCATGTTCATTTGATTTCTCGTGCAGACCCTCTGGTTACATAGCGGTTGTGGTGCCTGCAGGTCTATTAATGGATTAGTTTGTGAAGATTTATAAAAGTGCAGGCATCAGCAGTATGCAGTACCGAGGCTTCGTTGCCGCGCAACCACCACCAGTCGCGCGTGAGTTAACGGTGCTGCGAGGGTCGCCTACACAGACTCGAACCCGCACCCTCAGATTACAAGGCAGCCTTGTGGTCCTTAAGGCTACATATTATCAATCTCGGCTCACTATCCCATTTCTCGCAGCGTTCCCCGCAGGTGACTTGCCCCTTCATGTCGGTACTTAGTGACGACGCTACTCGGTCCGGCTTGCGCAAAATGCTTCTGCCATTTGAAGACCGACTTAACACTTGTACGGTCTCAATCAATTGAATGGACCTATATATGTAGAGAGTTGTGTACCTGGATCTGAGTACTTGATATTAGATTTGTTGTACGAGATTGGGAATGCTGGAGTAACGATTGACTATTCAACTCATCGGGTCTACGCGAAGTTTCAGTCAAAGGTGAGAAGAGTTCTGTATAAACTATTTGGCGGGAAGAACTTACTATGCACTTACCTGATTAAGGTGCCATTCGCTCCCGATTCGGCGTATCTAAAACTTTGAACTCTCTCAGTTGTAAGACGGACTTCATTCGGATGGAAAACATTGGCAACTCTGATGTCTACTGTGATCAAACAGAGAAAATACAGTAATGAACTTAGGACGCTTCAGACTGACAAATCGGAGGTTGATGTTCGTAATGAATAGGACAACTTGTGTTCGCTCTTATGTGTATGGTGAGAATTGTGGAAGCAACGCATCTGTGGTGGAAGATGATATTGGTTTCAAGTGCAAACGCTGGCGGTGCACACCGTCAAACGCTTTTTGCGTATAGTCGCGTAACTCAGATGGATTTTCTGGAGACCATCGAGGTGATAACAGTTAAACAATTCCGGTCGACAACAAAGGAGGCTTGGAGGGCTATGTTGCGCTCCACGAATCAGGTCATTCGAGGCCAGGAAAGGAGGCATCACCTCTTCAGTGTCTCACTGCATGATAATATTTCGCCATACTACGGAGTGTCGCTTTTCCATCAACCTCGATTTCATTTGATGAGTTAGATTTGTGTGTGAATGTGCTGGATAATTTCATTATGTAATCCCCAGTTATTCAAATCTATGCAGCATATATGGACGCAGTCGGCAGCCGTTGAGTCTAGAGTGGTTCGAACTCTAGGGATTGGTAGATCCAGTTCACGATCTGATTATGCCTTCCAGTACCGTCGCGTCGAAATGTAAACTATTGATCACGCACACCGTTTGATTCTTTCTTAACGCTCTCTTTGAATCCTCTTTTCTTTGACGTAGTGGCGCCACGGCAAGGACTTTCATCCCAACCACATTCTACTTCGCCACTATGCAATCCACCCGGCACGATCACCAACCAATGTTCACGGGATTTGACAAATCAGAACTGTACTTCTCTGTGTAATGCATGTACACGGGACGCATGTACACGCAAATAAGATTGACTTTTATGACCGAGGCATTAACACACTGTCCTCTCCAATCAATGCGCTGATCGACTTCATGGACATTCGACGGTACTAACTGAACTGCTCGCTGGGCTGATTAGCCAGTTGGTCAGAGCCTACGTTACCTAGGTCATGAGTTCGATTCACGAGAGGATTGTATTTTTCAGCTGAGTTCAACTCAATCCGAAATCGGCAATGCCAACTGAATGCATAGCGCTTTCAAATCTCTTCTTAAAGAAATCATGTCCCTACACAAATCTTTCGAAATGGTCCATAACGCTTTCAAGTTGAATCTAGTGGGCACGAACGCCACTAAATGCTACGGCCTACTGAGTGACCAAATCCAGATTACAATTGAAATCCTCTTACTCGAAGCCATAACATATTACCACTCCTAGTTTCAAATGCTATGGACAGAACTTTTAGTGAATGGAAGTCATGACCTCGGGGGCCAGCTACTCCTCTGCAAATGTAGTAATCTGCGTGGTAGTGGAGAATAGGTCGTGCTATATCCCAGTTAGCTTGCTAATTATATATCCCAGCCACCGTCCGTCAGTGGCTTAAGCTGCTAGATAGTTGGCGTCAGCTTCTAGTGGTCATGGGTTCGGTGCTCCGTAGGGGACCGAGGGAATGCACACCACTGACGAACCGCAATAGGACGAAACGCGTCTGGTGCTTTTCCGGATTGGCAGTTGTACTATGTAGCTTGTGTGCTACTGAGACGAATACTACCTATGGTGTTGGTTGCTTACTCGTTCGTATGTGTTCGCTGGATTTCCGTCCATGCTAACGAATTCGGTGGAAATTAGTCATAACATTGTGTCCAGGCCAGGATGCTGTAGGTGGTCCAGGTTGTTAGTTTTCATTTATCATAAGTAAACACACTTGCTTGCTGTTATAGCCTTAGAGGTAATCGAGAGGTCCAATACGCTTATTAATCACCTGAACGCCTATGATGATGAAAGGGTTTCATGTTGTTAAACCTGGGAAAAACGGTGTCTATAAAGTGTGATACTCTACTCCTACGACCAAACAGTTTAGACTAGTTCAACTGGTCGTTAGCCACAGGGCTGTCACCATTCCTTAGTCGATATCACACGCGAGCGAGCGACAACGGAGCCCTGAAACTTAAGTTATATTACAACTGCATCAGTCTGTGTAGGAGGGGTGAGCTCACGGGTTTGACATCTGAAAATAGGAGTAAGATGTAAAAGAAATGCAACAAAATCGCCCAAAACTGTCAGTAGTCTTTCTTGAGGGGAAACGAATATTTACGCTGATGTGAAACTAAGGATAGGGGCAAACGAATCTCGGTCCATTTTACCTTTACTCTCTACTTTGGTTCTAAGATCGGATTCTAGTAGTTAGTGGCATTTATCAGT